ACACACCCCCAGTCTTCCTCTGCTAACAGGAGCGCCTTGGGGATTGAGCAGGAGCCATCTTGGGGGAGGGGAGGGGAGGGGAGGGGAGGGAGGCTGACAGGGGGAGGGGCTCAAATATGAGCATCCTAGAGAGATATGACACAGATAGGCACGCCTTGACTCAGACGCACACACCCGCCTGTAAACATGTCAATGTATAAGTACACCTAGAAACACCCATCCAAGCTGTACACATAAGAACATCCATCTACGCCCCTTAGACAGCCACCCATGCACCGACCGGTCGACACAAAGCCCGATTTTATCCATTCTAAGGGAGGCATCGTACCAAAACAAAGCTCAGGAACCCACGACGGTGCTCGGCTGGGGATGAGTCCCACAGCCCAGAAGCAGACGCCGTAGGCGAAGGAATCGACAGCATCGGTGTGGGGACCAAAAAGCCAGACATGCTGGGAACACACCCAGCCCCTTCTCCGACAACAAAAGGAGGCTGCCTGCCACGGGCCGAAGGCAAAGCACAAGGCTGGCTGGCTGGCTCGCTCTCCGCCCGGCCCGGCCCTGCTCTCCCCGACCCCCTCCCCTGCCCACAACTGGGAACTCGGTTGGCGGCCCCGCTCACCGCCTGCTCGTCCCCGGCAGTGCCGTGCACTCTTGGTGCCGCCGTCTCTCGGCGCCCGGGCCGGGCGGCTCAGGGGACGGCGCGGCGGCTCCCCCGGCCCCAGCCCAGCCCGGCCCGGCCTCAAAGCGGGCGGCCGCTCGACCAGCAGCCACAGCGGCCCCTGCGCCCCATCCCGGGCAGCACGGCGGAGCCGAGGCGGGACGAAGGGCTGACGGCCACGCGCAGGAGCGGATCGGGCCTGCCCGGGCGCGCCACTAACCCCGCCCTCCCGCACGCTCAGCGCCGCCCCCCCCAGTCCCTTCCAGCCCTTCTCGTCTTTTTGGGGGAGTCTGTCTGGAAGTTTTAGTAGGGAAGGATACCTGGGAACAACCTAATAACGTAAGGGGGAAAGATGCGGTGATGAGATCTTCACGGGATCCAAAGCTTCCTTGAGCCAGAGCTCCGCTCCAGAAGATGGGAGCCCAACGAATTTTCATTTGGAGTCTCGGAACTTGTGAAGAATTAACAGAGTACCTCTGAGAGCGCATGTAGAATGCTTTTCCCTCTCATCTGAATAAACCCATCTCGTATCTCCTTTATCATAGGAGCCTCCAGGTCGGTGCCAATTCCAGGCAGATGTAAGCCCTGGCCCCTCAGTTGTTCAGAAATCAACCACTGCTCAGGTCATAAAGATATATGTATAGCCAGTGGTCTGGGTTGTCTCATTCGTGTGTGGAATTGGAATCTAGATATTCCCCTGTAGTGGTGATGTTTTCAGTTAACATGCTACAATGGTTAAGGTGGGTGGCTGACAGACTGGCCATTTTTTTTCCTCTGGGATGTGCCTCTCCATCCTGGCAGTATACCCTGTAGCCTTACCTTGCAGGAGGAAACAAATCCTAAGGCCCCATTTGACCCTGATGTGACCCAAGGCTGCTTTGCTTTGGCTCCTGCTGTTGTTGAATTGGCATTAATTGATCTTTTCTACATCGAGGATGCATACTATGAACCTGCTCTGGCTGCCATGCTTTTCACACTTGGAGGTGGTGTTGCTAAGGGTAACCAAAAGCAACAGGGGGGCTGGGCCCATCTGGTGAAATGCAACAAAGAGGGAGGCTTTGGCCTTCTTCCAACCTGAAGTCCTGTACAATGAAAGAGAATCTCAGGAGAAAGAGGCCATTTGAGTTCAATGTCTGTTTCTTTTCTCTTGTGTTTCGCACATGACCTGCAAATGGACCATTGCTTGGGATAGCAGTAGCAGACTGCATGATAATATTACATGGTTTCACTTGGCTCCATCTCCTCCTCTGATTAGTCACAGCCAGAAACCCTGTTTATCAACATGCTGTGCTGGTTAGATATCTAGACAGAAGATGGAGATGCAAGAAGCTTTCTTATCATCCAAAGTATATGAGATAGCAAGTCCACGTAAGGGACACACAAAGAATAAAATTATAATTGTCAGCCAGCCACAGTGGAAAAGGACCAGTGAAGGATATTTTTGTTGCCATTTCTAAAATGCATCAGTATGTAATAAGGAGGTAGCTTGGGTATCTCCTGGCATGAACCTGTGCAGCAACTCAGGTTTCCTAACAATCTCTTCATCCACAAAGATTGTACTGAGAGCAGGAGCGTCTGGATGGGAAGATGTAGATTTCCACACACCTCTGCACACACATGCAACATAATTTCTTCTCCATCTTTGCCTATATCACCAGTGGGCTTTTTCTTGAATTTTAAAAATTTGTAGTAGATATATTGTTAAAGTGTCCTACCTATAGCAATATGCCTACTACCCGTTAAAAAAAACACCCAGCATTAAAGGACCTCAGTGGTGAAGGAGGAAATGGCAAGCAGGAGAGGAAAGCATGGGGAAAATCTCTGTGTGGAAGCTCTGCTGTCATTGCAGTAACAATGAGAGCAAAACCAGGAATTGCCCCCATGTGGAAACCATCTCATAACAAACACTTTTGTTTCAAAAGGCTTTTGCCAACTGCTAATCCACTGGTCGCTTTGTATTGGTGATGGTGCTCAGAATTTAAATATTAATGGGACTGCTAGGATTGGGTGTATTTTAAGATAATCATTTGGTGACTGACATTACTTTGTGTTTAAGATGGCTTTTATGTGATTGAGCTACTTGGAAAGGCAGGGTACATCAGGCAAAAACTGAAGTGTCTGGGGGAAAGTAAGCATTTTGGTCATAAACAATCCAGGGAAAGCTAAATACCATTCAGACTCTGGGTAGTCTAGGTGTGCTCAACACATCTCTATTTTTTTCTTACATTAGCAAACCACCAGAAAATCTTGGGAACAGTTATTAACAATTAACACATGCAAGATATAGAAAACATACAACCAACACCACTATTTATCCACTGGGGTGAAGCACTAACTGGTTAGAAAAATTCCCAGAATTTCTCTGTATTTAGAAGGCTGTCATATCTCATAATGTATTCTGGTGTATCTTCATGTCTGGCACAGACAGAATGGTTTTCGCACTTCACCCCACCGCCTTCAGGACACCTTTCCCCACATTTCTGTTTCTAGACATTCTATTCAGTGCCTCTGGGGTGAGCTGGAGATACAGATTTGGAAATTTCTAATTATCTGGGCAAAGAATGAAATTGTTCAAAGGAAGGAAGGGGCTCCTTCAAGGGATTAAAGAACATCACTACAAGAAATCAGGGTTGAGAAGAGAAATGGTCACTGTTACAAAGATGAGGAACCCAGGAATCTGAACTTGAATCAGAGCACATGGATAAGAATACTAGCTCTCAGGGAGGAAATCTGAAGTAGGAATTCTTAAAAGAGGAGATCTGAGGTATCTGTATTTTTCCCTAGCATGGTAATAGCATGTCAAATGTACAGAGGCTCAGAGGAAGAGCCTCTGACTGGCATGCAGAAGGTCCCAGGTTCAATCCTTGGTGTTTCCAGTTAAAAGGATCAGGTAGGAGGTGAAGTGAAAGACCTCGGCCTGAGACTCTGGTGGGCCTCTGCCAGTTTAAGTAGACACTACTGACCTTGATGGACCAAGCGTCTGATTAAGTATAAAGCAGCTTCATGTGATCAGGTGACCATTTTGTACAGGAAAATGGTTTAAGAGGAAAGGTAACTGGCCCTCCTTCCAGTGGTGATTTTTCTCTTTGAATTGCCACACCAGCTGTTCAGTTTTGCAAAAAGCAAAACCTGCCCCTTTAAGGAATCAAACAATCTGTAATATGTAGCTCTGCCTTAGAAGGTGGCTCCAATGAAACTGCCATACACACACTGGTTCACCTAACCCAATATGTTCTCTAGTCTGACTGCCAGTGGCTCTTCAAAGCCTCAGATCTTTTCTTCTTCTACTTCCCGAAATTCTTGATGATGGCAGTCAGTGCTTGAACCCATGACTTCTGTTGTGGTCTGCTTTGAAGGTGTGGCCCCTCCCAAATTGCTCAGAAAGCCATTTACCAATGTCAGGGAAGTTTGCTATTCTGATGTGTTGCCAGACCCCGCTACTCAAGCTGGCCTTCAAAATCCTCAGGGGCTGTCCAAAAATGCTTTCCACGAGTCAGTGGGATTTACCATTCCCTTCTAGCTACATGGCTTCAGACTGCACATTCTGAACAAAATAATTCTTCCACCCCCCTCCCATCTGAGTTACCCAGCCCCACCCTTACTACCTGCCCTAGTTTGCATGGCAGCCTTTTCCTCCAACTATGTAACCTGATGAGCACAATGGATCCAGGTGCTCCACAGCTCATGCCAACATTCCTGCTCAAGCACAGCTGAGCTGTTTCAGTCCCAGCATAATATTGCAGGACTCCTGTGTTTATTATCTACCCCACCCCCCATCATGCTTCCGGCTTTTCCTCCCAGCTTTGCTTCACAGCCCATTGCCTTGGTCTGACAATCCTGTCTTCCTACCATACCCAGCAACTTGCATGCTTTCCTATGTAGGATAAAGGGACACAGTATCCTGGAAGACCTCTCTCTACCACCCACCCACCATGCTGCCAGGATTCCTGCCAGCTCATTAGGCTGATGAGCCAGCTTGGCTCCTTATGCTGGGCACTCTGCAAACATCCAAAGTGAGTGGATTTGCTGTGTCTTAGAGCAGATTTGCAGGGATGTGGCAGAATCACCCAGGGAGCTGACGCTAAGCCAGCAAAAGCACCACAATTGTTTTTAAGCCTTCAAGAGGAGAAAACTGCAGAACGTCGCCCCCACATTTAGGTTCAGACAGACCCAGTCTTGCACAGCACATGGACTACTAGGACTGAGGGCAGGCAAGTCACTGTTTTTATTGGGTAATCTGTAAACTGTTTTTGCACAGCATAAGCCACTTTAAAGTACTATGTTGTGACAGAAAGGAAGGGTATTCCTTCAGGATTCCAGAAAGCAACAGCTCATAGAATGAGCCTGTACAGATTTGGGGGGGGGGAATCTTGCTACTAAGAGTCACAGAACTACAAGAATAATTGCAGCAGTGACAGAAAGGAGTAACTAGGCCAATGGGGATCATTCGGGAGCACTGCGGGTTAGCATAAATTTCCTGAAAGGCAATGGGATATCAGGCTCATGCCTTTGCACGGAATATCTTCCTGTGAAAGTAGTCCCAAACAAGTGCAGTGCTGATGTTCTGTCCATATCACATGACAGGCACCAGTCCTGATAGTGGGGCTACAGCCAGTCCTCATCCCAATGAGACTACAGCTACACTTTTACCCCATCACTGTGAACAGTGCCACTGCAAATCTATGTAGACCTAGAGAAAGGCAAGCCGGTTAGGCTACAATGCATAACGCTGCTCACTCCAAAATGAAGAGTCTGAATACACAGAACTAGGATATGTGAAACAGAGGCCTAAGTTGTATGTCTGGATGAAATGTTGAAGGCATTATCTAAACAAAGGCAGACACCTTGAGCGGTATTTGTAAATATTACACTGCACTGTATTTAATGTAAAACCATTGCAGGTAGTTCAGGTACAGGCCTGAATATGGACTACTAGCTGTCTCCAACTTAGGAGCAAAACAAATCTCTAAGGTCAGAAAGGTCACTAAGCACTGTTCCATAGAATGGGAGGGCATTTCTCTGAAAGGGGTATTATTGTAGCTTTAATGTTGTTTAGTAGTATGCAAATAGTTTTTATTGTGGACATTTAATTTTGTAATCTACCTAGCATCTCTGTGAGAAAGGCAGAGTAGAAATTAAATAAATAAATAAATGCAAAAGTCTCCAGTAACAACTTCCTGGGTAGGGCCTACTCCATGCCTCCTATTAGAGCCCTATATACAAGCAAATCAAAAGTCTGGAAACATGTTAGTAGGACAGAAAGTGGCAATACCAGATAAAATATGAAACAGAATGCTTGCCTTTTCATGTCCGTTCTGCCCAAGCACAAATGGTTTGCACTTACCCTATGCAACCGATGTTTGAGGCAGGATGTGCTCTAAAAACTTACACAAGCCCTCACTACTGTGTAAGGTTTGCACTGCTCTTTAACTGGCCACTTTCTGATATCAGGCTTTACTAGCTTACATAAATCAATCTATGAGTAGAGAATGAGCAAAAAAAATCAATCAATTACATTCAGTAGATTAGGCAGAGAGAGCTTGAGGGATCAGAGAGCATTATCAGGACATCATTAGTATAAAGACTGTGCTCTCTAACTTTTTTTTTTGCTTTTTATATCAACATCTTGATACCACACTAAAGCAAGTGGCTTGGCTGTCACACAAGGAGGAGGGAAAGCAAACAACCCTATCTGGTAGCCTGCATAGTCTAAATGGGTCTGATCTTACTCAAGCAGTAATGCTCTTAAAGGCTTTATATGAACACTAGTCGTGGCACTGAGAAGTGCCCAGAGTCCACAAATAAACTTATTTACTATAATTTAGAAAGCTGCAGATTCACACATAAGTGAAACGTGGGAAATATGCTATATATACAGTTCAAAAGTGTCCAGAAAAATCGCTTAAGGCTTTGTGTCTGCAGGTAGCCTGAAGATGGCAACAACCTGCCACATACTTTGCTGGCTCCAGTAAAAATGTAAGCATGCTTTGCTCCCACTCCAAAGGCACCAAGCTAGTCACACCAGCGAACCCTTGTCCTGAATAGTGAAATAACCAGCACGTCAAAAGTGGGTTAATGAAGAAAACAGGGCTGGCCTCTTCAGTATACCTTTTCAAAGAGTGAGCCTTACACTCTCCTATCTTTCTGTGACCACCTCTGACATCTTTGGGGAGACGGAACAAATGACTGGGCTTCCAAGTCTACAAGACTGTCCCTTCCCCAGATGTCTGTGCTGTGTGGTTCCTTCTTTCTGCTGTTCAGCCTTTTGGCATTTCTTTAGAACATCTGTATACCCCACTTTTCTCCCAGCAGTTCAGGAGCCAAGGTGGGTAACAACAAAAGACAAATATTAAAACATAACTAAACCAGTGTGCAGTCAGCCTTTCCATATGCATTTTTAAAATACTTGTATCCTTCATTCCAGCTTAACTGCACATTCCTTTAGGCTGCAAGGCTATTCAGTCCTAGAAAGAAGTTGCCAACTTCACCTGAAAAGTCTGCATGCTACATCACAGATTAAGGCCTGGGGGATTCAGGAACTTGGTTGCTTTCCAGTTCTAGACAGCAAAGGTCTTCCTCATCTTTGCCCACTTTACTGCAGAGATCTATTTATTGGAGCAGCACCTGACAGCAGTCCACCCTCTTATTACCCTACTTGCCAAACAACTGAAGCCATCAAATACTATGTTTGGGGCACAGTTCCAAAAAAGGTAGGTGTGCAGCCCATTGATTATAAAGGGACTACAGGTAACATGTAATTATTTCTGAAATGCACTCTAGATCTCAAGTAAATAAAGGTATCTTCTCTCACATTTCACTTGCACAAGGAAAAGTGTAACTGACTGGCAAAAGACCCTCCACCTCCATCTGCCACTCCAAAAGCACAACTTCTACTTCCTGCTTGCTGAACATACAGAAGAAAATGTTCTAAAAATATAACCTTTACTACATGGTTTGTCTTTTCAGTTTCATTTTTAATTGCCACAACAAAATGAAGCACAGGCACATACTTATTCCAGTTCAAGCTATGCCTGCTTTATAGTGGGAAAAGAGGACAGAATTGAAGTAAGGGTGTTGAAATCCTGTTGTGACCAAGACCCATCCTGATAATTTTGGTTAATCTGATCATTTTAAAACAAACCATTGGGCACAATATTGCCTTGAGAATGTGAGATTTCTTTGGCTGCCTTTTTTTGCTCCTGATTCTTCTGCTGTTTTATAAGGAATCACTTTACAAAGCAAGAGGTGTCCCTTTCTCAGAAATTCATAGCAGCCACAGGCCTCACAAACACTTCCTGCAACTGCACCAATCATTCATGGAAAAGCATAAAACTGCATCTGCTTACACTTTCCACACAATTAACCAGGTCCCATTCAGTGTAAATTTACTCAACAAGATAATCTTGGTATTTAAGGGTCACTTCACACATTACATTAAGTATACTCCTAAAATATTAAAAGCACAGAAATGTCAAGCCTGAATGTGACAAATCTAAGACACATACAATTACATTCATCAGGATGCCACAACTGACAGCAACCCCGTTGAGTGTACACCTGAGTTTGCCTCAGCATAATGTGCAAAAGAGCCCTCAAAATCTTCATTGCTTTCTAAGACTTCCAATTAAAAGACAGCTACGGGGTTTAAATGTGTGATTCTAAACAGCCAGTTTAAGGCTTCTCTAGATAAAGGTTTCCCTTGCTCAAAAGCCAGTCGAATCCGACTCTAGAGTGCGGTACTCATCTCCAGGGGTCATTTCCTGCGGGAGCGCACAGGAGCGGAATTCCGGCAGTAAGGAACCCAGGGGGTGGGCACATGCAGCAAGCCCCGCCCCCTGCTCCCAGCAGCCCTCAGTCAGGCCACAAGGAGCAAGAAGTAACCAGGTAAGTTGCAGAGTCCCCCCCCCCCTTCAGGTACAAGCTCTCCCTCCTCTGAGGGAAGATCTGCGCGTCCCGTCCCCCCCAATAGCTAGCAATCCAAAACAGTCCAGTGGAGCCTGAGCGGTGGGTGTTGCCTTCTGACACACTTCCAGTGATGTCAGGGGGAGTGGCATATGCAAATAAGTTATGCTAATGTGCTCCTCCACCTCTTTTTCTACAAAATGACCCCTGCTCATCTCCATTTCCAAGCTGAAGACCCAACGCTGACCGAAGTCATTTCCATGATCATGTGGCCGGCATGACTAGACGCTGAGGCGCACGGAACGCTGTTACCTTCCCACTGAAGGGGTACCTATTTATCTACTTGTAATTTCTTGCTACTGAAGGCTTATTAACACAGAGTCTTTTTGCCACTGGTAGTTCGAATGAGAAGTTCTGAGCTTGTGGCTGGTTTTGGATTTCTTATACTCAGGAATGGAGTATAAACAATAGTAAGGTATATTTTCTATTTTTGCTTTATGCCAAGAATTGATCAGTAGGCCTCAAGCAGTTCATCAAACAATGATTATCACAGTACAAAGCACTTTTATTATCAATAGTTAAAATAATCATTTGCCATTTTAGAGAAATAACACTTTTCAGTTCCTTTGTGCCTCTTCAGTGTGAAGCAGATGTGTCTAGGAGGGCACCTCCCGCAGAGCCAAGGCTTCAACCAGTATGACTGATTACTCAGGAAAGTGGATTGTTGTGCCCAGTGGGAGCTGGTGCAGTACGAGGGGTGGGGCACACAAAAGAGGGCAACCACTTGAGACATGAACAAATTTATTTCACAGGACATGGCACTGCAGTTGGCAGTGACTGCCACGTAGAGAGTGTAAGGCAGGAGAACCACTGACTCCCCTGGGCTCCCTGCCTTCATCTTCAAGGGAACAGGAAAGGGGTGGTGGAAGGGGGAAGACAGGGTAAGATTCTCAACACATACATATCCATTGATCAGGGTCTTCCATGGCCTGGCAGGCAAAGATCACAGGAATAACTTTATACACCAAGCTTTGCCCCAAGCCAACAGGAGAGGTTAAATAAATATGTACAAAATCTGCAGGTGACAGACGGATGGCATGGGGCTTAGTCACCCATTTTCACTTTAGATGTCTGCAAAACACAAAAAAGGCAAAAAGGTCAGAATATTTTACAGCTCAATGAACAACATCTCTCCTGCGCATCTCCAACTGACCCAAGTCCAAAAACCACTGGAGACAGGATGTAGACTTCCCTCAAACTCACTCCATGGACCACAGGTTCTTCAGTTTCTTGGAGGAGGGGAGAGGGAAAGATAGGGGGCATTTCCCACACTTGCTTCCAGGAAGATCACCTCCTCCATATACCTGCAGTCCTGGGTAACCACCAGTGCCCCCAGTCCAGTTATCTTATTCCCTCTGTAGTACCAATGACTGTTTCCATGCTGTGGCTTATTTATTTTTAACATTACACATTGCATTCACCTCCTTATCCTCATGAACAAAGGTTGCTGCTCTGTGCTCAACTCTCAGCCACTGAGAAAGATGGCAGGGCAATGGAGGTGGTGGGAGGGGGAGATGATGCTATGAGCTGGAGAATACATTGATAAAAGAAGTGGGCAGCAACTAATGAAGGTCACCAGACCTAGACTGAAAAGCCACCTTCTTTTCTTGGCCCATTCTTGTAGTATACCTGCCAGGAGCTACCTTAAAGCCCCATCAGTCACAGGGATTAGTACCTGTTTTCCTGAACTAATCAGATACTGAAAGCTGCAGGACCCAATACAACCTGGAAGTACCTAATAGGAGCCCTTTTTGCAAATTACAAAGGAGTGTTCCTTTGGGGTTTTTTAAAAAACATTTTCTTTTTGTCGATCCTATTGCTTAAGTTGTCTGCTCGTTTCAACTCTCTCTGGGTCTTCATTTTACATTTGCTCAAAGGAGGCTCATAGATCACAAATGTTTTGGTGAAGAACAGCTTTTTGCATCTACATAGTGATTCATCTAAAGATGGGAATGAGCAGTACTCTAAGGAACCAACACTGGGGGCAGTTAGGTGGGGGAAGGGCTCACCTGCAGGATAGCCACGATGACTCCAAACAGCCCAATGGCACTGCCAAAGATTTCCACGATTAGGATCTTGACAAAGAGGCTAGGGTTCTGGGCATCTGCCAGTGCTGCACCGCTGCCCACAATGCCCACACATACACCACAGAAGAGGTTGGAGAGGCCCACCGTCAACCCTGCCCCAAACATGGAGTAACCTATGGGAGGGGGGTAAAAGAGCACAAAGATTGGGTAGCATCCACTTGTAGTTTCACTTTATGCCAGAGCCTTCAGGAATGTCCCTTGAGATCCCATACAAAAGGAATGGAGGAGCTGCAAAGACTTGATTCCAAACAAGGCCCCCCTCTGAGGAATGCCACAAAAACAGCATCTTTACTTACAGATATCCAAGAAAACAGCCTTTGCTACTAGAAGCTTCACAGCAAGGACACAGATGGTGCATCAAAGATTGCTGCTACAATACAGGGTGGGGAGAAGGGGCTTGGCATAGCCAGGAGGAAGGAATGTGGGTAGGATCAATATGCTCCCTGATTTGCTCCATAGCTTCCTGGGAGAAAAAAAGGACTTGGGCTTGGAGGAGTCAATAAAGCTCACACCAAGACACAGTCTATCCATGGGCACCTGAGGCTCTGACAAGGAGGAGAACAGCTGTCCTGTCTGTCTGCCTCCCCCCCCCCCCCCCCCGCCGTGTCATCACGTACCTGCATGATAGTTCCGGTGACCAATCGTCTCAGGAGTGTCACCAGTAAATTGCTGCAAGCAACGACAAGATTTTAGCAAGCGAAGAGGCACAACCACATATAAAAGAATCTAGATTCAGCACTGAAACACTATCCCATAGTTAAGAGGCACAGGTTATACAGAAATGTTTGCCAGCATTTTCAGGTGTGGTGGGGAGACAGCATTGGGGTGAAGACATCAGAGGCTCCTTATACTTCCTCATTCTCTTAACTGTATGCACAAACCAGAACCAGACTAATCCTTCTCAAAAGCTCTTGGGATGGCAAAAGAAGAATCAGTGGCCTGTGAATAATTATCTGGTTTGTAACTAAGATTTAGCGCAGAGCAAGAGGGCCATTGTCCCTGTTTCCCTGCAGAACTGTCCTATGTTTCTGGAGCAATTAGCCAGTCTGTACCTAGAGAAAGGGCCATGACTAAGTTGTAGAGCATATGCTTTGCTGCATAAGATCCTACTTTCAATCCTTGGCATCTCCAGTTAAAGGATCTCAGGTAGAAAGTGCTAGGAAAAGACATCTTCTCAACCTGACAGCCACTACCAGATTCAGGCAACTGTGACCTAGGTGAATCAAAATTCTGACTCACAACAACAATTCCATATGTTCGTTATGTTCTGCCCCATCAGGTTCCTAAGAGTCAGCTCCAAACTAATAGAGCTTGCTGCCCCCCCGGCTTCCCTGGGCTTGGTCAATGCCTCTCTTGAATCTCTTTCCCTCCCCCCTTCCCCTGCCTGGTGACAGCTGCCACCAAGTTGCTTCTGACTTATGGTGACCCTATGAATTAATTACCTCCAAAATGTCCTACCATTAACAGCCTCGGCTCAGGTCTTGCAAACTGAATGCTGTGGCTTCAGTTTGTAGTGCAGCTGGCTATACTAACAGTTAATAAATGGAACTGGAAGAGCAGGGCAAATCCTAGGACGCAGCTGCTCCTTCTAGAGAAGCCAGACCCGCTCCTGGCTCCATTACCTCGGCCATGTTGGTGATCACAATGGCCATGATGATCCCGTAGATGGCCACAGCTTCACAAAAGATGATACTGCCGAGAGAAAGGACAGTTTATCAGCTGTGACAATCTCAAAGATGACAAATTTGAATATAGGACTAGGGAAAAGAGGAAAAAAAAGAAAGGGGCTGGTCCGTTAAAGTGGTTCTGCTGATATAGGTTAGCCTGCTAATCTAAAAACACAATGCCATGAGCTCCACTGCATGAAGGCAATGTTCTGGGTGTGAGGGTAGCTCCACTCTTGATTATCTGTCTTCATATCTGCCTTCTGCTGACTGACCACTATGCCTCACCTGTGCACCACCATGCTCTTTCAGCAGTCCCACTCCACTCAGAACCCAGCCAGACTGCATCATGACCTGATCTTACTCCCCTTAGGAGGAGCACTCCTACCAGGTAGCGCTACTGCCCAGTTTGCTCCTTGGTCACATTTTAGTGGTGGTGGAAAGTGCCATCAAGTCACAGCTGACTTATGGCAACCCCGTAAGGTTTTCAAGGCAAGTGATGAACAGAGATGGTTTGACAGAGCCTACCTCTGTGTCCTGATCCTACTTGATTTCCCATCCAAGTTTTAACCGGGCTCGACCTTGCTTAGCTTCCAAGATCTGGCAAGATCAGGCTAGCCTGGGCCACCCAGGTCAGGGCCCTAATATTTCACACTTGCTTTATTATGAATTGCATCTAGCTCTGGGTACATCATTTCTACAGAGGTACTGAATTCTAAATATTTCTATCATTATTTGACACGATATGCACCAATTCCAAAATGTCCAGGATATGCTCACTCCTAGACCCAGGGAAACACATGGGTAATTCAAGAGGGGTCTGCTTGTTGCTTGCAGCTTCTGGATTAATCTTGATGCTCAGATAAGCGCAAGGCACAGCTCCCTCACACTGTTTTCAGGAGCACAGAAGACAATTTAAGATCTCTGTCACCCACATACCTAAACAGGGCGGCTTTGCCTACCAAAGAAGGGCAAAAGGCAAGTCAAGAATGATATGTCTACAGCCAAGATTATAAATAGGATGATCAAGGGATACACGCAGTACATGTGTTCTCAACAGCTATTAAGAAAAAAAACTGCACCCTCCTCTCACCTGACCAGATTCTTGGTTTTGATTCGAGGTGCTTTGACACCACCACCTATGATGCTGGATCCAGTGATGTAAATGCCCCTGAAAACATAATCACAGAAAGAGTTACACGACTGGTTCTTTTCACTGTGATCCCAACACTCTTACCAGTTGCAAAGCCAGTGCCTGTAGGAAGTCTGGGCTAGTTCCCAGTTCTAACTGGTGAACACTGAAGCAGACCCAGCAACACTGGGGGAGTGTTGGTTAATGGATAAAGGGGGCAGGAGCACTTACCAGGCAGCACCCACCACTGACAGTGAGATGGCCAGCCCAATCCCCAGGTTGGACCACATGAAGGGTGAGGTCTCTGTCAGGAACCTGTATGCAGAGGAGTGATCTTATGTGAATGTGATCTGACCAGTCCTAGCACCAGAAGCCTCAACTCCCCTCCCCCCAAAAGGACCCACCAACCACAACAGGTCAGTAGACTCTTTCCATTTGTCAACAGACTACAGCAGGCCAGTCTTTCCCTCTGCCTCAGTGCCATAAATGGTGAAAGAAACATACCTTTTCCCCACTGGGGCAGCCAAAAGACTCCACTCTGCCAAGAGGGACTGGGAGTCTTGATGCCACATTAGAAAGAAGGTATATATTCATGGCTGGGCAGGAGAAGATCACTGTAGGAAAGCTGTGCTAAGCCCAAATTACACTAGTCTGATGGGGGTCTAGTAGAGGCCAAACAGGCAACTTTGCTCAAGATTCAACACAATGAGATAACCCTGGGTCACCTCAAGAACCAGCAGAAACAGGATCATGGCAGAATCCAGTGGGGGATTCTTAGTCCCATATCACTCAGACTGACATGTGCACAGGGAAGCATTAGCTGCAGTCTGAACAAATGGAAGGACACAAGAAAAGGCATAGACTGAGCTTCAGGAAGAAGGGGAGGAGGATGTGTAAAAAGCTTGAGTGGAGGGCAGCCACCCAAAGGCTTGGCAGCCTATAGATTCAATTTAAGCTTCTGCTACATGCAACAGTTGGGGAAGAGAAGTGGCAGCCAGCTGACCTACAGTAGGCAAAGTGGTACAATTAGCAAAATTGACTGGTGAAAGAGGACACCGCCATCAATACTGCCTTCAGCAACAGGGGAAGGGAGGGGGTGCTGCTTGCCTGTGGACACAAGCATGCCAAGTACTGCTTACCTATCCCTCGGGACAAAACACAGCCAGGCCTCCATAAATCCATAAACCCAGGAAGGAGAGCGGCCACACTAGCATGCCTCTTGGGCTGTCTTCTGCAGCCTACCACGCAGAGCATCCACAGACCATCTCCACCCATACCACCCCACACCTAAGTCAGCGAGAGAGCACCTTCTTACCATGCCACATCAAAACGGAAGCCCAGGTCAAATATTGTGTAGCAGATCCCTGGAAAACAAGAGCAACACTGAATCCTTCTGCCTTTGGGCCTTTATGTCCTCAAAGACTGATTCATGGCAAACACAGCACAGGGGAAGTTCTTCTGCAGGTCATGACTTTCTGGAGCAGGTGCTAATACACCCTCTGTGCAGTGAAGTGACACTTACACATGCACAGAAGTGTACATACACACACCAAATATGAAATGCTCACCCAGTCTTCTGCTAACCCCAACTCTATCCTAACTTACAGATCAGGGCAAGGCAGCGGTCATTAACACATGGACAGCGAACAGAAAAGGTCTGGAACACAAACACCCTAACATCATGAATGGTGGTTACCAAGGAGAAAGAGGCTGCAGCCCTGCCTTTTAATATTTTGTTGGAGACATGGTAAATATTTTACACACATGCATACACAGTAGCTCCTGATAGATCACCACTGGCCTCTGTAGCCTTCAGTATGTATTAACATTTAGGAAAAGCTAATTTACAGGGAAATTATGAAGACTGATACATTCTATGGATTTGTGACATCAGAGATAGAATGGAAGGAGTGTGTATACCTTTCAGATCTTTTGAACAGACCAAGAATATTAATCTACCATGTAACCTACCACTTCAGTCAGCAAAGTTTGAACTCCTCAGTCCACAGAGCCTTCCTTCCACTTCAGTGGCTCTTCCTGAAGGAGCTCCTTAGGCACAAGGAAGCCTTCACGTTTTGCTGAGTGGCATGGGACTGTGGGTGGGTTACTGTTTGGAAAGATTATGGAGTTTGAAAAACTAGCTGTGATCAAGAAACAATTGTTTTCCAAGATCTATCATCTACTATTAAAAGCTGAGCATACAGGAATAAAATCATATGACAAAGTGGAAAAGGAACCCATAACAAATTTATCGGAAGCACAGCAATGTTTATTTACAGAAGGTTTGGCATTTGGAGTATTCTTAATTTAAGGAAAAACTACTTTACAATGGCAACAAATAGCACTTCAGGCCATGGAAACTACATGTAAACTGAATACTGGAAAACGTCAGAAGCATAAGAACAAAGGAGATTTTCTTCACAAGTATTAGAATCGTAACTGAAACAGGTAATTTCAGAAGCAGTATTGGAGGTGATGCATAAAAGCATATACAGCTGCCATTTGATTCTCAGTTCTGTCTTTTGAATTATGCAAAACTGAGTATGAAAAGATTGCATGAGCTGATTTTAAATTTACTGGTTGCCTCAAGGTTGATATACACCAGACACAATACCATATAAGAATGAATTAATGGGGAAAGTCTAGGAACTAATTCATCTAGTCAAACTGACAGGTTACCAAAGATTTCCTGCAAAATTACAATTTAAAAGAAACAAGCAGTCCAGTGATTTGATATGTATAATGAATGAACTCACTACTGAAGAACTCCCAAATAGTTCAATGTGATTTAAATAACAGGATATGATTACAGAACTAGAACACTTTCCCCTCTTTTTTTACTACTTGTATAAATCCTGTGGGAAAGTTAACAGCTAAAACACAGTTAACAAGATCACAAATTCAAATTGACTAGCCGAGTTGGTATGTTACAGGAAGAACCAAAGAAGAGTTTGTGGTACCTTGCAATGCTAGACTGGAACAGTTAACTCACTTGAAATAATGTTGCAAACCTAAAACAGAGTTATACCCATCTAAACTAACTGAACTCAGTTCTGTTTGCAATCATGCATTTAAAACATTTCTATGCTACCTATCCACCCAAACAGTGTTCCCACAGAGGTGAGCATCAAGACACTAAAACAGAGTTTAAAATATAAGCATACATAAAATATTTATATATCAATAAAATACAAAATCACACCACAAGCTGGCAGGAGGGGGAATGCTGAACAGAACAAAAAACCTTTTCACTCCACTATTGGAAGACAACAATGGGGGCAGACAGATGAATCTTCCTGGGAGGGAGTTCCAAAGTTCTGGTACCACAACTGAGAAGCCCCTTTCTCAGGTTGCCACCTGTGTAGCTTCAAATGATGGGGGCCACCTGAAGCAGGGCCTCTGACTATGGCTGCAGTGGGCAGTTACGTTCATAGGAGAGTAGGCAGGATTATAGGGCTAGTCTGTTATCACCAACTACAGCAGCTGTAAATGGTCACTTTGCTTATTTTGTATGTTTTTGAAGTCTTGCACAGAAATGGCAGAAGTGACACCTCTTGCATTCATGGTCTCTTAACCTACCTACTCATGATTTTTCTTTTGCCCTCTGCTATATATATGCATTTGCTGTTAGAATCCATTTTATGTATCTGACAAAGTGGGCTATAGCTCACAAAAACTTATACTTCAATAAATGTGTTTGTCTTTAAGATGTCCCAACTTCCCCACCCCTACCACACATTAAGAATCTGACAATCCACTTGGGCAAGGATTGCAGATGTTCCCTGCTTTCTTGTCCCTCCAGCAGTCTCTTCCAACCCTAGGGGGATTTTGCCTTCTTCCCTCTCCTTGCTGCAGCCCCCCCCCCCTCCAACCTGTGTATTCCATGTGTAACCTGCAACCCCAGAAATCCGGTTTCCTGGAAGGGGAAGAAGAAATGGGGCAACTGGAGGAATGACAAAGCAGGAAAGACCTGCAGCCATGAGCATCTGCTGCTGAGGGATAACTGGGTCTAACCCTAACGCTGCTTACTCACAGGAATTATTATAATATGTGTACATAAGAAATCTTCAGATTACTCACAGGAATTATTATAATATGTGTACGTAAGAAATAAGTCTTGCTACTTATTCAACACCAGTTCCATGTTTGTGCATGCATGCAGTGTCAGTCATATGAAAAGCTTCCATACGGTTCAGAAAGAGATGAGCATGAACTAGATGTGATCTACAGGACTGTCACTCTTATACCAGCATGGCAGCAATTCCATATCTTCTCATTCTACCAAGGTACCACACTAGCTACCCAAGCCATTTCCTACTTTTAAAGGGTTGACTACAGAAAAGGGATGTGGAAGAGCATCAGCATGAAGACATACAGCATGAAGGTACATGCACAACCTCAGAGTGGGAATCAGCTCAGCAGACTGATTTGGAACACTTCATGACATGAGTCAGGGACATGATGGTAGGAAATTTCATATTCTGAGACACAAGAACAGAATATGACAAATCAATAATAGGAGGCGAATGCTCCACTCCATTTAGCACCAGGCCTCAAGCAGAAAATTGTATTCCATTCTGAACCTGACAGATTAAGAAAACAGAAGTAAAGGTGGGAAGGGGTTTCAGCAACATGAAAAAGGAGGAAGGGTGAAGGAACTGTGGATCTCAGGGCAGGATCACAAGGCTACTGAATTTGGGAATAAGATACATCAGTAATCCCCATGAACATCAAAGAAAGAAGGCAGGCAGTGACAACTAGATTTACAAAAAAAACCCAAAAACCAGAAAAATAGGGCAAGAAGACAGTTCAATAGAGGATGTAAGGGCCTTACCACTGGAATTTAAAGTTTAGACAATGTACACCCAAAGAACAGGTCAGAGAGAATTTACCTTGTATGGGGAATAAAGCAAAACAGAGATAATGAGCATGCAAGTAGAAGGAGTGGTAAAGTCTTTCTGATGCCCAGGGAAGAACAAATAACAGAAAACAGTGGACATAGATAAGGGCTTTCCCCTACTACAGGGGTCCACAAACTTTTGCTGGACTTGGAAGTCAACTTTTGCTCAGGAAAACTCCTATCTCACTTTCCACTCCACAGAGGCAAAGTGTGTCCCTTTTGTGTCCACAGCTCAGTGAGAGGTTCTACAGATGAACAGCACAGGGCTTGTGCATCTGTACAGAAACCATTTCCCACTTTAGGCCATGCCACTGATCAAGCTGTCTCTAAAAGAATTATTATTATTCTGGGACAATGCATTGGAAGGTCCCCCCCCCCCCTGCTCAAAAAACAAATTCCTTGGTGCAACTGGCAATTGAATTTTTGGACCTATCAAGAGTGGGACCATCAAGTCACAATCCAATGCACCAGAGAGAGCATGGCCCTGGGTTGGGTCATGTGACATCCTTGTTCATGTCCTTCATCAGTCACAAAGCCAAGCATGATAGCACCTAAGCAAATCAATACCTCTCATCCTGATATTATTCAGGAGGATTCGTAATTTATTTCAAATATTTATATGTCACCACTCCCAAGCTTGAGTCCACTTACATTAGCTAAAAGTGTACAGATACTAAACAGGGAGATTAGAGTAAAACAATTCCAGATACTTCAGAAAGGTCATTCCAAAGACTTTGAGCAATGGTAGCAAAAGTCTCTACAACAGGCCCAACCCCTTATAACTCCAACCAATAGTAAGGTCCATTTGGGGAAAGGTGGGACTCACAGAAGAACTGGTTCCATAAACAGCATCAGAATGCTACCAAGCAACTGGAGCAGATGTGCATAATAGGCTGAATGTGCACCCAACTTCTGAACTGGAGGCAGGTAGCAACATTTTGCACTAACTAAAGCTTCCTAATTACCTTCAAGGGAGGCTGTTTACAGTAATCAGAGGCCACAGAAGTATGGAACAGCATAGTTTGATCCTTCGTCTCCATAAGACCGTGCAGCCTACATAATAAATGTGGTTCATAAAAGCAGCACCTAGCAATCCCGAGTGACAGCCCATCAAATGTTTGGAAACTTCAATTGATGCAGAATGCTGCAGCCAGGATGTTAACTAGAGTGGGTCACAGGGACCATATCACTCCACTCTTGGCCAATCTACACTGGTTTCCAATCTGTTTCCAGGCACAATTCAAGGTGTCCATCTTGTCCTTCAAAGCCTATATTGTTTGGGACCAATATACCTGAAGTACTACCTATGCCAGATCACTGCAGATGGTAACTGCAGCCACGAAATTAAAAGACGCCTGCTCCTTGGGAGGAAAGCTAAGGCAAACCTAAACAGCATAATAAAAAGTAGAGACATCACCCTGCCAACAAAGGTCTGTATGGTCAAAGTGATGGTATTCCCAGTAGCAATGTATGGCTGCAAGAGCTGGACCATAAGGAAGGCTGAGTGCCGAAGAATAGATGCTTCCCAACTATGGTGCTGGAGAAGGCTCTTGAGAGTCCCTTAGACTGCAAGGAGATCAAATCAGTCAATCCTAAAGGAAATCAACCCTGACTGTTCCCTGGAAGGCCAGATACTGAAGCTGAAACTCAAATACTTCAGCCACCAAATGAGAAGGGAGCACTCACTGGAGAAGACCCTGATGCTGGGAATGATTGAAGGTCAAAGAAGAAGGGGGTGGCAAGGGATGAGATGGTTAGACAGTGTTATCAATGCAACGAACGTGAAAGTGAAAGCTGTGGTAATGGGCACCAAGGTTGGCAACATAATTGTGCACACACTCCAGGAGGGCATTTGGACACCTTTAAGTGTTGCAAAGACTGCAGAATTTCAGCAGGTGTTCTTTCTATAATAGTAGTGTAGCAGTAGATGAAATTCTGCTTTCTGTGAAAACACCTACAAGAGCTACTAACACCTGAAGCCTTTCATTCTAGACAGAAAATTCTCTTCCTCTCTAAGTCCAGGGCCAATACCCAACTGACACTGGCCATGGATTTTAAGAGAGCCATGCCTACATTGTATGCATGTAGAAGGACTTAAAACTTCAAAAAATGTGCCAAGGCTATTGAGACATGCCATGGTTATTTAGACTAAGTACAGCTGCTTACAGAAAAAAAGAGCACACTGAATGGATCTTATTGGAATTCATCCACCACAATGTTCATTCAGCATCCTAGCACACTCAAATGACATGCCACTACTTTTTGAGCAAAGAAACTAGTAAGTTAACTTAAAACAGCAGCAATGCACTGGTTAAATCTTTTAAACTGTTTGCTACTAAGCTACAGGACACAGATGAGGCACTAAGAAACAGCAGCAAAAGGGAGCTTAACACCTGCCTTCCCCTCCACTTCCACCCACACATCAGGACTACTTTAAGTTTGATGCTGGTGGGTAAGAAAAATTTTCACTTGCTCATTGAGCTGTCAGTTGCCTGGCATGCAACTCTGGCATGTGAGAGGTCCATAATCTGCAGGCAGGTGTGGTACTGGCATGCTAGTTTTGCATATGGAGAAGCAGTGCATGAGTGACAGAGTTGTTTAAATGAGACTCTGGGCATGGGCAAGATTGCAAAGGTAAATTCTTCTGGCCCACCAGCATTGTATACCAGTATAAATCAGACTTCAAATATAACCCAGAACTGGGTGAAGGATCTCAGCTTCTGTAACCATCAGTCAAATAGATCTTATTTTATTGGATAAAGAATGGGAGGCAAACTAACTGCGGTAAGACTTGAGGGTTATATCACCCCACCACCACCACCGATAGTTCAATAAGCCCCAGACAATAGATACTGATGTCCCAAAGCTTTAACAAGATCACGATCAAGTCATGATACCCAGGAGACAAAACAGGTTGAGACTCACAGATTCAGCCTGAAACAGTTGTATTGGTGCTTAAATTCTACTGCAAAATGAAGTAGTTAGCCATTCTCTGTAATGTGGCAATCCTACTCAAAGGGAAGCATAATTGTTCCCAGTCACCCTGATGTGAAAGAGGAACTAAGATTCCTCCTGTCAGTCCACAAACTGCATAAATTAGCAGGGTGGGATGGATGGAAACTGTAACTGCCAAAGAAAATTAAGCACTGCTTAGTGGAGCAGCGTGTGAATTAGTCCCAGCAGGAACTAGTCAGATTCCATGCTTTTTGGCATTGCCTGTGCCCAACCGGCAAATGACCTTAAATGAACAGCGTTTGTCAGAAGGTCACTGCTGAGTTTCCTTCTTAGTGCTTGACTTAACCTTGACTGTTGAAGTTTAAACCAAATTAGCCAGGTTAATCCAGTTGAAGCCACCAAGAGATCCCAGATAGCTGGTACAGGCCAGACTACTCCCCTTTTTCAGGACAGCTATCGTAAAGCACGTTGCCAAAACAAGGAGAGAGTCCATTGTACAAATCTGTGCATAGTGCTCATTCGTACGGGCAAGAAGGAGACTGAAAATTCCTCACAGAACAAAAAACAAAGGCATAATTTGAACAAGACAGCAGAGGGTTTTACAGGATGATCCTTGAAAAGTAGAATAAGGGAGCAGCAGAACTATTTGGGTTCACAAATAAGCCCTTTCCTCATCATCTGAGCAAAAGTGGAGACTGCCAAAATTAAGCAAAACCCTGCAGAACTCAAGGCAGGAGTCTCCCCAGCAAGACCAAAGAACTGGACTGTCACTGACTCATAAATCTCCAGCATGTACTGAATCTCCCATTAATGCCACCATATCACATTCTCTAGAGCTAGTTTTTTTGCCCATCTAGGACTTGGTGTAACAAAGAGGATTAAGAACAAGGCTGCCCAATAGCAGGGGCAATAAAGGCAAGCTCTGGGCAAAGGAAGTAAACTCAATGAACATAAATAGTTCTTTAACCAAACTGAGAGGGAAATACTTTTCTGGTAAAGTTCATCCAGATGGCAACCCTCTCACAATCATCCCTCTTTATCTGGTCCTGCATCCTAAACTGAAATAGAGAGAAAGAGAGATGTACCACTTAAGGGAGGATTTTGTATATCAGTAACCTTCTGGGACTACGCCATCAGCAAGATTTATCTGTAGGACTAATAGATGTAGCACACAGAAATTCACTGAATATGTAAACAAGGCACTCAAACCCTTTTGGAAGCACTCTTCTCTGATGCTGACATGTCACCTTAAGGATTAATGCCACTGTCCTCTGAATAGGGCTGTCATATAGTATCACTACAGAAAGCTGGTGGTGTCCTAAACTGAGTTTCCTTTTCCTCCTCAAAATTATTTAGAAGACATTCAACTCAAAAAATTCCCTAGGCAGTCTAATCACCTAGAAATGTCTTTGGATACATTTGCCCTTGGATATATTTTCTTAGCACTGGGTAGAGCTAGTGTCCGAAATAGTCAGGGTCACACCTAGGAAGTCAAATAAACATAACAACCATGGTTCCTCACTCCTTCAGGTCAGATGGACTGCCTCACCCCCTGCCTCAACATACATGTCAATGATTCAACGACTTCACAGCCTGCCATACACTGCCAGGTTCAACAAAATTGTCTTCTAAGGGATCAGCAACCATATTCCCATGCAGGAAGAGGAACTGAAGATGCATTTAAGAAAGTGCTTCTAAATGCCCTTCTTTGACTTAGCTAGGGAGCACTAGGTGGTCACAAATATCCAGAATCAAAACTCACAACAATTACTCCACAACCAACAACAAAACACATACACCTTTCTTGCTGATTGACACCTAAGGTGTACATAAGGTCTGAACTCTACAAAATCAATTAGATAAGGTGGAGAACTTGCAGAATATGCACATTTCTTTCATCCAGCAAGCCTAGCTAGAAAGAACCAGCTTTTTCTTAGAACATGGAGAACGACACAGGACAAAAAGATGAGGGAGGAATGCCCTTGGGGGGGGGGGGGGGGGGGGGGGGCTGGGGCTGCAGAAGGTCACCAGCAAGGAGAGACAAAGATCACCCAAGCCCGATGAAGAGAAACTGGGGAGTGTGAAGTCGAGGTCCTCCCACCTAAAAGAAATGCGTTGCCCCAGATACACACCTCGGGAACAACATTAGCGTAGCGGAACATAGCATCTCAAAACCACCACCCACATCGCCAATGAGCAGCTCAAGCACCCTGCCTCAGATACACATTCCCGGCGACCCACTCGCCCCCAAGACCGCACCCTGCCCCCCACCCCGACTCAGCTACTAACCAACGCCGGTGATGGCAGCGGCTGCACTCAATCCCAGCCCCGAATACAACAACGCGAGCCCAGACATGGCGACAGCAGCAAACCCCCACTGCGGACTATCACAACCACGGCTCAGCTGACCGACTGAATGACTGACCCTGCGCCACGTGACCCCTTCCAAGTATACCACGTGGCTCATATAGGGCCGGGGTGATTGGTTAAACTGGAGCGAGCACGGAACTACAAAGACCAGAGTGCCACCTGATAGTTTGTACTTGTTGCGCTATTTTACTTTCGGATGACCTTTCTGTATCGGGATCGGCTATTGGTTACGCCATGTTACGCAAATTACGTAAGGGAGAAATGTGTACGGGGGGAGGAGGGCCACGGTGCTCTTCCCTGTTTTCCGACGCGCATTACCATTGGGTGGTTTTAAGTCTCCACCCCGGAAATCAAAGAGTAGGAATGTTCAGGTGGCTGGGGTTCCCACTAGAGAGGCAAGGGTAAGCCTAGTGTGCGGTTGATGTAGTCTAAAGATATGCTTTTTGTTGCTAGGATTTTTTTACCGTGTTGACTATGGTGTGTGTGGTTTCCCCCCTGTAATTTACGTGGATAGGTACCGGACATTGCTCTGCTATTATCATTATTCGATTGTGATGGAAACTTGGTATATAAATGTCTCAAGTAAACATGGTAGCTTCTGCTGTTTTATGATTAATAACTGTATGGTACTACCCTACCAGGGGAGAGGCGATCCTGGATTTGGTCCTAAGTAATGCCCAAGACCTGGTGAGAGATGTAAAAATGATTGCACCGCTTGGGAACAGTGACCATAATGTTACTGAGTTCAACATTTGTATAAATAGGGAGTTGCCCAAAAAGACTGACACAACCACTTTTAACTTTAAAAGGGGTAACTTCTCTGATATGAGGGGACATGTGAGGAAGAAACTGAAAGAAAAAGTAGAAAGGGTCAAAACCATTGGGGAAGCTTGGAGACTATTTAAAACTACAATCCTAGAAGCTCAGAAACCTTTCCCTCAGGTTAGGAAAGGCACAAATAGGTATATAAAAAAGCCTGGATGGTTAACAAACAAGGTAGTGGAAGCTGTAAAAGGTAAAAAAGGATTCCTTTAAGCGGTGGAAAGCTAGTCTCAGTGAGGTTGATAAAAAGGAGCACAGGTTGTGGCAAATAAAATGCAAGTCTGTGATCAGGCAGGCAAAAAGGGAATATGAGGAGTATTACAGGCCAGTCAGTCTGACCTCGATACTGGGTAAGTTGGTAGAAACTGTTATTAAGCAAAGAATTACTAGGCACATTGATGAACAAAAACTATTGAGGGAGACTCAGCATGGGTTCTGTAAGGGAAGATCTTGTCTCACTAACCTGTTAGTGTTTTTTTGAGGGAGTGAACAAGCATGTGGACAAGAGGGACCCAATAGATGTTGTTTACCTTGACGTTCAGAAAGCTTTTGATAAGGTTCTTCATTAAAGGCTCCTAAGTCAGCTCAATAGTCACCGGATAAAAGGACAAGTCCTCTTGTGGATCAAAAACTGGCAAATTAATATGAAACAGAGAGTGAGTATAAATGGGGAATTTTCTCAGTGGAGGGTGGTAAGCAGTGGGGTACCACAGGGATCAGTACTTGTCTCAATGCTTTTTAACTTGTTTATTAATGATTTGGAGTTGGGAGTAAGTAGTGAAGTGGCTAAATTTGTAGATGACACGAAGTTGTTCAGGGTGGTGAGAACCAGGGAGGAATGTGAGGCACTCCAAAGGGAACTGTCGAGGATGGGCAAGTGGGCGTCAACATGGCAAATGGGGTTCAATGTGGCCAAGTGCAAAGTGATGCACATTGGAGCCAAAAATCTTAAATATAAATACACATTGATGGGGTCCGAACTGGCAGAGACTGACCAAGAGAGAGATCTTGGAGTTGTAGTAGATAACTCACTGAAAATGTCGAGACAGTGTGCGACGGCAATAAAAAAGGCCAGCGCTATGCTGGGGATTATTAGGAACAGAATTGAAAACAAATCAGCCAGTACCATAATGCCCCTCTATAAATCAATGATGCAACCTCATTTGGAGTACTGTGTACAGTTTTGGTCACCACACCTCAAAAAGGATATTGTAACATTGGAAAAAGTGCAGAAAAGGGCAACTAGGGTACTGTTCACACGGAGCATTTGCCGCGCTTAGGATACGGATCATAGGCGGATTTTCCGGGCGCGATCACACCGCAACATCTGGGAAACGTAGTGCACTCGTAACTTCTTGCTGGAGATACGGAGTAAAAACTAGTACGTACTATGTGCTAGTTTCCGGAAAACGTGGGGTAAGGGTGGGTGTCTGATCGTGTTTCCGCTGGAATCCCGTGGCATCCAGCACCCGCCCATGTCCCGTCACAAACCGGATATTTGGGGTTTTTTAGGTCTCCACAGGATGCGCACAAACGCCCATCGACACATGCACACACTGTGGTGAGGGAAAAAATTCCCGTTTGCCACGGAAGTGGCACCTAGCGATTGCCAGTTGTATCGCGCTGCTTCTTTGCCACGCTGCAGAATAGCCGTGTGATCGGCACCTAACGGCATACCCACGGGACCTCCACGGGACATGTGATCGGGCTGCTGCGCGTTACTTTGCTCCGGGGCAAACAGCCACGCTTTCCCCCGCGCGTGCGCATTTTCCGGCTCGTGTGACCGGGGCCCTAGAATTATAAAGGCTTCTCGGCCTTTTGGCTAAGATCAGCGTAAACATTATTTAAATTAAAAGAATGATAAAAAGAGCCTCAGCTCGGTTATATTGCCTGCAATGGCCACACCCCCAACATACCCCACTCCCAACGATAGGCTGCTTACAAAACTTGACATATTAATTGGTTCCTGCCAGAATCCTGTTGGTCTATTGTTATTCGGCTCCAAGCTCACCCTGTCTCTGGCAGCACGGTCCTGCAATGTTTCAGCCCCAATACATAACACCTCTGCTTTGGGTGCCCCTGCTTTCAGAGTTAAGGCAAGTGGCTGTTAGAGCGAGCAACTCCGCATGCCTGGACACTGGGAGGCGCTACATCACTCTGAGGGGGCACAGGTGTTATCTCCTTGAATGGGATGTCTCCCTTTGTCTTAACCTGGAAGCTGCCCTCTGACCCCTTTGTCCTCTCCCATCACATGGCCTTCCACGGAGGCACATGTCTCTTTTATGTTTCTCCTGTACAGACAGTGCCCTCATCCTCCCCCACACATGATGCCGGATAAGCTGGACCTCCTGATGGCACCTGGTATTTTTGGCCACTGTGTGACAGAGTGTTGGACTAGATGGGCCATTGGCCTGATCCAACATTGGCTTCTCTTATGTTCTTATGTCTTCTTCCTGAGAGGCCCACTTTGTTATATGCTTCTGGATTTTAGTAAGGTGTTTTGTAAGGTTCTCCATGAAGTTGCAGTGGGCAAGTTGGAGGGCTGTGGATTAAATCTTAAGACATTTAGGTAGATAAGGAATTGACTGGATAATTGCACCCAAAAAGTGGAATGGCCCCTTGTCTGATTGGAGAGTACTATCTACTGGGGTACTGCAGGGCTTGGTTTTGGGCCCAGTGCTCCTTAATGTTTTTTAATCCACTATTGAAATGTGGATGTGAAGGGACTGCTTATTAAATTTGTAGAGATAAAGTACAACTGGATATTTTGGGGAAAAGGGCAGATGTGAACAAGATGCAGTTTAATAGTAATAAAGGTAAGGTTTTATATCTGGGTAATAAAAATGTTATGCGTGCATATTGCATGAGGTAATAGCATGTGAGAATAGGATCTTGGGGTTTTGGTGGACTGCAAATTGAGTATGAATACTTAGTGTGATGTAGCAGCAAAGAAGGCAAATGTGATCTTATGGTGTATCAACAGATGCATAGCGTCTAGGACATGAGATGGGATGAAATCACTGTATACCACACTGGGCAGACCCTATTTGGAGTATTGCATCCAGTTCTGGAGGCCTTTTTGTATTAAAGACACAAACTTTAGAGCGATAGAGAATTGAGTAATGAAGATTATTACGGATTTGAAGACTAAGCCTTATGGGGAAAGGCTGCAGGAACTGGTAATGTTCAGCATGGAGAAAATGATGATGAGGGGCTGTCTTTTTAAGTATTTGAAATGCTGTCATTTTGAAGAGGGGAGGGTGCTGTTTCAGTTAGTATTGGAGGACAGGAATAATAATAATGGGTTTAAATTATGGGTGGGGAAATAACAGTGGCGTATTAGGATTTTAAAAAAATGGCAATTCAGTGTTGGAATTGGTTGCCCAGGGATGTTGTGTGGTCTCCCTCCTTGGAGATGTTTAAGCAGAGATAAAATTATTATTTGTCAGGGGTACTTTAGGTGATCCTTCATGGTGCAGGGGGTTGGACTGGATGGTGTTTAGGCCCCTCCCAACTTTTCAGTTCTATGAATAAAGTGAAAATTCTGATCTGTGCTAGAGAATGCATGTATGCAAGCAGAAGCTTTCAGCTATTTCACACAAATACAAGAGGCTTATGTTGTGATTCTAGAGGGGAGATGCCCGTGAGGGTCTTCCCTTTTGTTTTGGTAGTTGTGTCAAAGCTTTAAAGCTCTCAAGGAAGCGATGGTCCATCTCTGGACCGGCCAAATTGGTCAACTATCAGCCGGTCTCCAATTCGCCCTATTTGGGCAAATTAATAGAGAGGGTGGTGGCGATACAGTTGCAGAGCTTTCTGGATGACACTTCCACGCTGGATCCCTTCCAATCCGGCTTCTGCCCTGGTCACGGGATGGAAACAGCACTGGTCGCCCTCACAGATGACCTCCGGAGGCGTCTGGATTGGGGCGGGACAGCGGTGCTGCTGCTGTTAGATCTGTCAACAGCATTCAACATCATCAGCTGCTCGCCCTCCGCTTCACCGATGTGGGGATTCAGGGGCTGGCCTTACAATGGCTTGTCTCCTTTCTCCAGGGTCGGGGACAAAGGACACTTGGGGAGGAGATCCCAATGCTATTTAACTTCTATATGTGCCCTCTTGCCCAAATTGCCCTGAGACATGGGCTTCGGTGTCATCAGTATGCAGATGACACCCAGCTCTATCTGCTGTTGGGCGGTCAGTCTGGCTCTACCCGGGAAGATCTGGACCAGGTGTGTGGCCTTACAATGACTTGTCTCCTTTCTCCAGGGTCGGGGACAAAGGACACTTGGGGAGGAGATATCCGGAAGGCACCCACTAGTTTGTGGAGTGTCCCAAAGGGCAGTGCTCTCCCCAATGCTATTTAACATCTATATGTGCCCTCTTGCCCAGATTGCCCGGAGGCATGGGCTTGGGTGTCATCAATATGCAGATGACACCCAGCTCTATCTGCTGTTGGGCGGTCAGTCTGGCTCTGCCTGGGAAGATCTGGACCAGGCGTTGCAGGACGTGGCGGGATGGCTTAGGTTGAGTTGACTGAAATTGAATCCAACGAAGATGGAGGTCCTTTGCCTGAATCGGAGTGGCTTGGGGTTAGGGGTCCCTCTTCTGGCCTTCGGTGGGGCGCCGTTGGTGCCAGCGCCAAAGGTCAGGAGTTTGGGAGTGCTCCTGGATGCTTCCTTGACAATGGAGGCCCAGGTAGCAGCCACTGCCAAGGCAGCCTTTTACCACCTTCGGCTGATTAGGCTGTTGGTCCCCTTCCTCGAACGCAATGATCTGGCTTCCGTGATCCATGCTATGGTCACCTCGAGGCTAGACTACTGTAATGCTTTCTACATGGGGCTGCCCTTGGGACAACTCTGGAAGCTGCAGCTGGTGCAGAACGCGGCAGCCAGGCTGTTGATGGGCCTCCCCAGGTGGGAGCACATCCAGCCTGTGCTGAAGTCGTTGCACTGGCTCCCAATAGCGTTCCGGATTCACTTCAAGGTGCTGGTTTTGACCTTTAAAGCCCTTAATGGTCAGGGCCTGCCTACCTGAGGGACTGCCTTTCTCCGTACGTGAACACAACACCGCCTGGCTTCCCCTGGGCCTAGGGATGCCAGGTTGGTGGTAATTAGGACCAGGGCATTCTCCCTGGCGGTGCCAACACTGTGGAACGAGCTCCCCACTGAGATTAGAGCTCTATGGGACCTCCAGCAGTTCTGTAGAGCCGTGAAAATGGAGCTGTTTCGTCAAGCATTCCAATAAGAACTGACTGCACTGGTTGGGTTGCACTAGCATTTTATTACAGGATGCCGCTCTATTTATTTATTTAGTTTTATTGTATTTATTGGAATTTTATGGAATTGTATTTTAAATCTTGTATTTGCTGGTTTTAAATTGTGTGTTGGTTTTAAATTGTTTGTAAGCCGCCCTGAGCCGCTTCGGCGGGGGGGCGGGGTAGAAGTTTAATAAATAAATATCCCTGCACAGTCAGACATTACTGTGTCTTCTTGTAAGCATAGGTCAACATGGCAACGACATTCAGCAGTGATGGAGCTGACCTGATGCAGCGGATGGTAACTCCTGTGGGAGTAGGTGGACATCCCCCAACCGTGGGGCTAGAAGAGTACTATGAACTGGACAGAACAATTGCATTTGTACTGGATAACAAGTTTACAAAGGTTAGAGAGTATCTTGTATCTTAGCAGAAAACAATGTACACAAACTCAGTTTTGTCTGGGGAACTGAGGCCCTATTTATGTTAAGGAGTAATATAATAGTATGATAGTATGTTAGTATATAGAGTAAGTTAGAGTTAGTAGATAGGATGAGTGGGAATAATAATAATGGAAAATAGACAATAGGAATGGAATAGTTAAAGCCAATGGCATAGCAAGGAGGGGAAGGGTGTGCCCCCCCAAGACCTCTGATAAGAGGGAGGAAGGTTTCCTCCTGTTGCAAAACTTCCTCTGCAGCACCCAGTTTTGGAGGCAACCCTGTTCAACTTTCCTTTATAGGTATGGAAAAAGATAGACTATAAGTATAAAATAAGGATGCACGGAGGGAATCCAGCAAAAGAAGTATAGAAGTCTTGAATAACTTAAAGAAGAATGTAATCATGTTTAGATCATGAATTAGAGGAAGTTGTACAGCGGTTTGGGCAAGCGGGTAGAGAAAGGGAATAAGATAATGAGGATAGAGAGTACTTATATGCTTTCAGTGTTTAATTTGATTCTTAGATATATATATACACACACACACACACACACACACACACACACTTAATAAAATATCAATTAAAAAAAGCAGTAATATAATTGCCATTATAATATCAATTTGTGTGCTGTGAGCACTGTGCTGGTACAGTTTGAGGGGGGGGCTCATCTGTGTTTTGTATGGTAAGTGATGAATGGTTCTCAAAAAATTATTTGTCCTGGGCTCTTGTTACAGGTTGCTCTTCAATTTCCTGATGAGCTCTTGTCCGATTCAGCAACTATTGCTGCCAAGATGGAAGAAACGACTGGTTCAAAAATTTACATTCTAGGGGACACATCATATGGCAGGTGCGTCTGTAGAGAAATTCTATACACCACGAAGTTGTAGCTTTCTAATCTGCCTTCTAATAATAAAATATTAGCAGTTTGCTCGATAATCCCTCCTTTATCTCTTTGGATTGCTCTGATGGGGTGCAGGAAGCACGAGTCCTTATAACCAGAAACTGTTCTTACCTATTGCGTGTCACTAGCAATGCAATATTCCCAGCTATTAGGCTTGTTAGGATCCTAGCAGGCTGATTGAGGTTTATAAAATTATGCATGGGATAGAGCAGGTAGAGAAAGAGGTACTTTTCTCCCTTTCTCACAATACAAGATCTCGTGGGCACTCCATGAAATTGCTGAGCAGTTGGGTTAGAACAGATAAAAGGAAGTACTTCTTCACCCAAAGAGTGATTAACACATGGAATTCACTGCCACAGGAGGTGGTGGAGGCTACAAGCATGGATGGCTTCAAGAGGGAATTGGAGCAGAGGTATAGATAGGGGCAAGTGATGCTTTGTATTCTTGGGCTTGTGGGGGGCCAATAGTGTGAGGGCTCCTAGTCTCGTGGCCCCACTGCTGGACCTCCTGATGGCACCTGGTACTTTTGGCCACTGTGTGACACAGGGTGTTGGACTGTATGGACCATTGGCCTGATCCAACATTGGCTTCTCTTATGTTCTTGTGACTACAAGGAGAATTCAGCTTTCTTTATACTGATGGAGTTATAGTCTTGCTGGATGTTAACAGTGACAAACATTTGATGGAAGGGAGCCTCAGAACTAATGTGGATGCCTTTCTTTAGCTGCTGTGTGGATGAAGTGGCAGCACAGCACGTGAATGCCGGGGCTGTGGTGCACTATGGTCCAGCCTGCTTGAGTCCTTGCTGCAAGCTGCCGGTGCTGCATGTGTTTGGCCGACAACCGCTGGATGTGATGCGCTGTGCAGAAGTCTTCCAGGAACTGCATCCTGACCTTCAAGCTCATGTTATTGTGCTGAGTGATGTGGCCTATTCTCATGCCATTGGTGAGTCTGGGTGGATTGCAATGTGGAATCTAAGCATAAGGACATTATTATTTATATTGTATGGCAGAGTTACACACAGGAAGCATACAATGTAAAATATGTAAACAAGTTGATACAACGGGTATGTAGACTGATTGGGCAATCCCCCTAAATACACTCAGTCACAGCTGGGGAGAGTTCAAAGAGCTCCGTCACATCACCCTGGAAAGCATGACACTCACATTCCTGTGACAGGTGCAAAATAGTTTGGTGGGCTGCACCACAATTGCATTCGGGTCCTGATATTTGCCCCATTTAAATAACAGGTCTGCACAACTGCCAAAACCTGTTCGTATGTATTTGCCATTTTCCATACTTTACGTCTTTCTTTGGTGTTTATCAGGTTATGGCTATCAGGTGGAACTGATTGCATCTGTGTTCACAATCGTTCATTCCCTAGATCAAAATTTTGTGATTGCAGGATTTTTGCAGATTTTATTGCTGGGTTTCAGAATCTTAATCTGGTTAGGTCTGCCATGTCTTTCTGGATGCACAACTTTCTGTTTTCAATTACCTTTCTACATTCACAAAGAAGAACATATTGTCTTCAGAGATGTGGGGGAGTGATGTGGCACAACATGGGTAGCCAATAGGTTGGAGTGAGCTTAATACACCAGCTGACGGTTTTCGTATTGAGTTGGACATCAAGTTTGTGGACATAGGGGCTGTTGAGCCACACTGAAGCACCATATTCCGTGGTACTGTACACCAACCCCAAAGCTGAGCATCTTAAGTGTTGTAGCAGACATACCAAGTTTTTTTGCAGAATGTTGTTTCGCATGCGTATTTTTGCTGCTACATTGATAAGATGATGTTTATAGCTCAAGGTCCTGTCCAAGGTAATGCCAAGGTGCTTAGGTGTATGATTGTAAGTTGGGTGCCATTAAGGTAGACATTCAGTTCACGGTTTTTCCTGGACTTGGGATAAGCTGCCATTTATAGTAGGAGTCAACCAACATTTTGAGGTCCCTAGTCAATATTTCCTCAGTCCTTTCAATTGATTTGTGCCTTGCTGCAATAGCATAAGGACAAACATCAGTTCACCCCAGTGTTCAAGGTGGGGCAAGCTTGTTCAAGATACCTGGAATCAGGATGGGAAAATGGTATTGTGAGTTGCGTGGTCATTTTCTAATCCCTAATTGTGTTGTCTGTGTCCCATCCCACTTTCCTTTCATGGGTTTCCTGTTTTGTCCCAGAGTCCCGGTCTGCAACCCTTTGGCTACCCCCTCAGCTAGGCCAGTGTCCTTTTACCTCTGTGGGTGCACCCTTATATATTATATGTACATATTATCTATATACATCTATATACTACTCCCTAGCAGACGCAAAGACACCATGCTCATTAAAAGCACAACATTCTAGTATTAAAAGGTAACACCAAACAAACATGCCAGTGCAATTTATTCTTTTGTAGTTTGAATGAAAGAAATCAGGAAGGTGGCCAGCTCATACCTAAACTCTGAAAGAACTGTAAATCCTTACCAAAGGGGCCTTAATAGTTTCCACAGATAGAACAGAAAAGAAATGTCAGCAGTCAAAATGCTACTCCTTTATCACGTATTCCAGCTTGTATATCAGGACTGGGGGCAAGAAAGATCATCTTCTGACATAATCTTTATCTCAGGTTTCTCAGCATCTATCTTGCTGTAGTGTTGGCTACCTCAGGGCTGGTTTCTCAACTTGGCTCTGTTTGCCTTCCTGTAACCTTCCCTATCAGGAAGTGGTCGCAGCTACAAGCATAGACAGCTTCAGAGCAGATTGGATAGACATTTGGAGCAAAGGTCTGCCTGTGGCTACGAGCCACAAAGTATAGATGGAGCACTATGTCTGGGGCAGTGATGCTCTGTATTCTTGGTGCTTGGGGGGGGGCATCAGTGGGAGGACTTCTGGACCTCTGGCCCCACTGGTGGATCTCCTGATGACACCTGGGTTTTGGCCACTGTGTGACACAGAGTGTTGGACTGGATGGGCCATTGGCCCGATCCAGCATGACTTCTCTTATGTTCTTATCGGTCCTGCTCTAGCAGTTTTCCCCATCCATAGAAACTGGTGGATGCGAAGCAATAAAATAGTTGTCTGGCTGTCCATATTCTCTGAATGGCTTGAGCGAGTTGTAGCCTCAAATATGTGACTGGTTTCTATTGTTCTTCTGTTTTTCCCCTCAGATAACTTGGCCTCTCAGCTGCACCCTATCTACCCCAATGTGATTTTCTCTCAAGTGGATACCAAAGAGACTCTTTCCTCAGCTCAGCCAGATTCTGTGCAGGTGCATCAATTTGGTCGGCACTTCACAGTGGATGAACAGCATGGTCTTGCCAACTATTGTATGTTCTATGTGGGTTCTGAGGGCCCAGAACTCACAAACTTTATGCTAAGCTGGAACCAATCTCCTTTCAGTTCTTTTAATCCTAAAACAGGTGAAGGAAGGCGGGAAACACTGGATGTAAACCGGGCTCTCCGACGGCGCCTCTATCTAGTAGAGCGGGCACGGGATGCCCAAGTAGTGGGCATTGTGGTGGGCACTCTTGGTGTGGCAAACTACTTGTCTGTGCTGGAGCATCTGCAAGGAATCATTCACCAGGCTGGCAAACGAGCCTATACACTGGCTGTAGGTAAACCCAGCCCTGCAAAACTGGCAAACTTTTTGGAAGTGGACATCTTTGTATTAGTGGCCTGTCCTCAGAACTCCTTGCTGGACTCCTCTGATTTCTACCGTCCCCTGGTCACACCCTATGAGATGGAGATGGCTTGCAATCCAGCACGGGCCTGGACTGGCAGATACGTCATTGACTTCTGTTGCCTGCTACCAGGTAAGGCTACTAACATCTGTTCCCTCGTACTAGGACATGTGTAGGGATGGTGGATGTGGGCAACAAGTGCTGCTGTTTATGCCTCTCTTGTTAAGAATTCCTTTTCCAGCACTGAAACCCCACTGGGAATCTGGTGTGGACAGTGTGCAGCCATAAGTCTTGTATTATAGTAAAAACTGAGATTCTGAAGAAGCTAAATTGTAATTTTAAATTTGGAAGATGCATGGGCCCACTCATATTCTTGTCTTGTGTCTAAAGCACGGCAACTGAAACAGCTGCTTCCCCACACCCACAGAGGTATCCAGCAGCAAGCCATTTTACATGGGGAACTGTTTGAACATATATAGTCTAGGGCTGTGCAAAAAAAATCGGTATCTTTGGGGTTCAGGGGGTTCAGAGAGCCAGTTTGGTGTAGTGATTGTGTGGACTCTAATCTGGGAGAAACGGGTTTGATTCCCCACTTCTCCACTTGCAGCTGCTGGATGACCTTGGGCAAGCCATGGTTCTGTCAGAGCTGTTCTCTCAAGGACAGTTCTGGAAAGAGCTCTCTCAGCCCCACCTACCTCACAGGGTGTCTGTTGTGGGGAGGGGAAGGGAAAGGAGTTTGTAAGCTACTCTGAGACTCCGAGTGAAGGGCGGGATATAAATCCAATCTCTTCTTTTCGTCTTCTATTGAACCTGAAAAATATTGGTATTTCCCAATATTTCCGAATCCCAATATCAGTATGGAGTTGGGATTTGGAAAATATTCAGGATTGCTGGATTTTTTCAGCTCCTTTATACTGTATGGAGACCATCATAGTCAATGGTCCCCATGGGCTATAGTAGAGAATGAATCTGGGGGTATCTGGGGGGGCTGTTTTTTGAGGTAGACGCACCAAATTTGCAGCATACCTGCTGGTGCCTCTCCTCAAAAAAACTCCCAACATTTAAAAAGATTGGACCAGGGGTCCAGTTCTATGGGCCCCAGAAGAAAGTGCTCCTATCTTCCATTGTTTCCAACGGAGTGGGGGAAGGCATTTAAAGGGATGTGGTCCCTTTAAATGCTTTTTGCAAGCCATGCTGTGAGTAAACTCTGAAGCAGCGAGGTCACCTGGAAGCCTTCCGGGTAAACTCACTGCTTCGGCGTTCACTCATGCATGGTGTGGCTTGCAAATGGCATTTAAAGGGAACTTTTCCCCCCTTAATGCCTTGCAAGAGTCCAGTCCTGGGCTGGCTCCTCTTTGTAGCTCAGTTGAAACTAAGCTGCAAAGAGGAGCCAACACCAGCCGAGGAGGTGGGGAGCTGGCTTCTACCACCCCAGCCAAGGCATCATAGAGCTCTCAGTTCTGTGCCGCCCAAGCTGATCCACTCTTGCAGCTCGGAGCTGCAAATAAGGATCACGGCGGGGGCGGTGAAGAGCGGAGAGCCCCATGCCACTTTGGCTGGGGTTGGCTCACAGTATAGCTGACGCAAATGAAAGCAAAAAATAATAATCAGGTTTTTCGGCCTTAGCTATAGGTTGGCTCACAGTATAGCTGACGCAAATGGAAGCAAAAAATAATAATAATAATAATGTTTTTCGGCTTTAGCTATATTGGTAGCTGGCTTAAGTAATACCTGAAAATATCTCTGATCTGTATTTGGCTTAAGTAATAGCTGAAAATTACCAATAAGGCATTTTTCAGGTATTTATTTGGTTTGGTTTATACCAAAAACACACCCCTAATACAGTCGTCCTGCACCTGCAGTGGTGCGGGCCGAGAAGGGCTATAGCATGTGCTGCTCCACATGGTTGAGTCAGCCCTTTGGTGGGTAATAAAAGAACCATAGTTGTAGTAACGTGTCTAGTTTGGTTGCTGCTTCTCTTTCTGCATGTCTGCAGGAGCAAGCGAACACATCCCCATTCCAGACAAGATTTCAGATTCTGACAGTCAACCTGACATTTCTCTAATCACTGGGGAGATGCGCTCAACTTGTCTCTACACTGCACCAGACTCAGAGCCAACATCTGGTGCCGCTGTGATCTGCCGCAGCCACATCCAAACTGTGGCTCAGATTAGTCCAGCAGGTGAGTGCTTTGCATGAGGAGTCCAAGAACTGACAGAACTGGGGGTGAGGACAACCCAGAGCAGATTCAGATGACTTGTTAAAAGTTCACTTACAGGGTGATAAATGTCATCATATGGGAGGTCTGTATCAAGGCAATAGGCATTAGGAGACAAGACAGTTTTGAAGACAGCGATGTGAAGGAGGCTTCAAAAATCAATCAAGTGCAATAATCACCAATTGGCAAGCGAATAACAAAGTCCTCTGACTCCATCCCAGCTCTGGTCTCTTCTGAAGTGGTGTCAGAGATGCAGCTTGGGGAAATGGTTTCTGCTGTGATAGTTCCTTCCTTGCTGTCTATTTTAGCCTCATTCCTGGAGTCACGCAGCTGGAGAGGGCTGGAGCAGAAGCTTGGCCAGACAGCAGTCACGAAATCAGTACCAGGACGCCGGGGGGTTGCTATTGCCTATGAAGATGAATCCTGCAGGTGATGCGAAGTCATGGAGAATCCAGAGACTGTGGGGCAGAGAGTCACTTACTTTACTGTGGTTGTACTGGAGGGGGTAAAAAAGGTATGGCTTCCACTTGAAAGCTACTCACTTTAACTGCCTCTCACAGCCATCTTTGGACAAGTGTGAAAAGTAGGAGTGCCAGGCCTCGCATGGGCCAGCCAAAGTAATAAAGGTGTTGTTTTGATATATCTACACAAGGAAATTACTTACTTGGGTTAAAATTCATTGTGGGGAAAGCCAAGCATTAAGACAGAATTTTCTTTTCTGCTACTTCTTATTCCTGATTTAGATGAATCTAATTTGTTGTGGTTCTTTTTTTTTTAAGTTTACATGTGCACATATTCCAGAAAAGTAGCTGCATAATACATACGGGCATAGACTATAACAGTAGTATGCGAGTTAAAATCTCCTAAATTGCATGATCTGTGCCCAAATAGCTTAAATCAGGGGTGTCAAACTCATTTGTTATGAGGGCCAAATTTGACATAAATTGGACTTTGTCGGGCCAGGCCATGTGTGTCATAAACTGTAATGCCAGGTAGCAGAGATGTAAACTTTATAAAGGACACATACAAACACAATTAAAGATATTGATTTTGCTGATTTTATTTTAGTTTATTTTACTGTTAGTCCCAAACCTCCCCCCCCCCAATATAAATGGTCTGAGCCTAGGATCCAGGGGACGAACATGAGATGGCTAAGCATTGCAAGCTCCCCCCCACCCTTCCGGGGCTACTCAGAATGGCAGTGGCTCTCCAGGGTCTCGGGTTTTTTTTACAGGATGGTTTGAGATAAGAATTTTGGGTGCCCTCTTCAGCACTTGTTCTGCTATTATTCCATTGGAGCTTCATATTAGGAGAGTGTGTGTGTGTTAAAACTAATATTCTCTGCAAAACTGAAGTCCCTTGAGTTTGGAGAACTCTATCTTTAACCCTGACTGGTCCCAAATCCCCCTCCCCCCAGATATAAGCTACAAATATAAATGGTCTGAGCCTAGGACCCAGGGGAAGGACATGAAATGGCTGAGCATTGCAAGCTTCCCCCTGCATGTCTACCCTGGTTGGTCCCAATGCCCCCCATGCCCTTAAAACATCTTTGTCTAAATTGGAAAGGTGGGGGAATAGTGGGATTTTGCAAAGCAAGTTTTAAAATAAAAAAGAAACACAAGGATCACAGCAGAAGGAACCCCCTCCTGCCTGTGAGGAAGACTACGGTGACTGGGAGTGGTGGTTGAGAAGTTCAGCAGCCCTTCCTGCTCTCAGAAGCAGCCCCACCCTCTGCTCTTTATAGGCAGCTCAAGCTCAGAACAGTGAGGATGGGCAGGGGAGGGGGGAATTAAGGAAAGCAGGTAGCTGAAATGTGTTTCATAACAGGTGATTTTAAACTACCCACACATTGATTGGGTCTATATATGTTCAAGTCAGGAGAAAGGGATTGGGTTTCCGGATACTCTCAATGACTGTGCCATGGAGCAGATGGTTACAGAACCTACCAGGGGGAGGTGATCCTGGACTTGGTCTTAAGTAATGCTCAAGACCTGGTGAGAGATGTAAACGTGATAGCACCACTTGGGAACAGTGACCACAATGCTATTAAGTTTACCATTTATGTAGCTTCTCAAATGAGGGAGATTGTGAATATGACTGAAAAGGAAGGTAAGGAGGGTCAAATTCCTTTGGGAAGCTTGGAGTCTATTTAAAACTACAATCCTGGAAGCTCACATAAAATGTAGGTTAGGAAAGATACAGATAGGTACTAAAAAAAGGCCTGCCTGGTTAACAAAGTAATGGAAGCGGTAAAAGGTAAGAAGGATTACTTTAAGTGGTGGAAGGCTAGTCCAAGAGAGGTAAATAAAAGGGAGCATAGACTTCGGCAAATAAAATGCAAGTTGGTGATCAGATAGGCAAAACGGGACTATGAGGAACATGTTGCAAAAAACAAAGACCAACAATAAAAATGTCTTCAACTACATTACTAGCAGAAAACCAGACAGGGAAGCCATTGGATAACCAAGGGGTAAAAGGATTACTAAAGGATGATAGAGAAATGGCAGAGAAGCTGAATGCATTTTTTGCCTCTGTCTTCACTGTGGAAGATTGGAGGTACTTGCCTACTCTAGAACCACTGTTTTCAGGAGGGGAGTTGAAAGACCTGAGTTGGATTGAGGTGATGAGAGAGGAGGTCCTACGATGGATGGACGACTTGAAAACTGACAAATCACCAGGCCTGGATGTCATGCATCCAAGAGTTCTGAAAGAACTCAAATGTAAACTTGTGGATCTTCTGACAAAAATATGCAATCTATCACTAAAATCTGCCTGCATTCCTGAGGACTAGAAGGTAGCTAATCTATCCCACATCTTTAAATTAAGTTGGTGGGATTCATTATTAAAGACAGAATTAGTAGACCTATAGATAAACAAAAACTATTGAGGAAAAATCAGTATGGATTCTGTAAGGGAAGAATCTTGTCTCATTAACCTATTAGAGTTCTTTGAGGGGGTGAACAAACATATGGACAAGGGTGTTTACGAAGACTTCCAGAAAGCTTTTGATAAAGTTTCTCATCAAAGGCTCCTGAATAAACTCAGCAGGCATGGAATAAGAGGACAAATCCTCTTGTGGATTAAAAACTGGTTAATTAACAGGAAACAGAGAGTGAGTATAAATGGGCAATTTTCACAGTGGAAAGTGGGATACTTTAAGGCTCAGTTTGGTGCAGTGGTTAGGAGCGCGGACTCTAATCTGGGAGAACCGGGTTTGATTCCCCACTCCTCCACTTGCACCTGCTGATGTGACCTTGGGTCAGTCACAAGCTCTGGCACAGCTGTCCTTGAAAAAGAGCAGTTTGTGTCAGAGTTCTCTCAGCCCCACCCACCTCACAGGGTGTCTGTTGTGGGGAGGGGAAGGGAAAGGAGTTTGTAAGCCGCTCTGAGACTCCAAGTGAAGGGCGGGGTATAAATCCAATCTCTTCTTCTTCTTCTTTTCTAGGTCCAGTGCTTTTTATCTTGTTCATTAATGATTTGGAGTTGGGAGTAAGTAGGGAAGGGGCTAAGTTTGCCAATGACACTAAGCTGTTCAGGGTGGTGAGAACCAGGGAGGACTGTGAGGCACTCCAGTGGGGTCTGTTGAGGCTGGGCAAGTGGGCATCAACGTGGCAAATGAGGTTCAACATGGGCATGTGGAAAGTATTGCACATTGGAGTAAAAAATCCTGACTATAAATATAAATTGACAAGACGGGGACCCGCGATACTTGCGGGGGGGGGAGAAGAGCTCCGTCTCCTCCATCCCCCCCTCGATCTCCCCAAGGCGGCGGCGGCGAGAAAGAGGAGGAGGAGGAGGAGGAG